AAAAGGATAGCTTAATGTATTCTCGATATTGATATTAAATTAAACTTGAAGCAAATCGAATAGACATTCTAAAAAATTTGTATTTGGGCTAACGTTTGCCTCAATTTTTAATCAATTGGAAAAATAGGGGGCACTTTAGAATCATGTTGAAACAAGCTTGCTTACAATTTAAAATAAAAAAATGTTTAATTGATGCAGTTTTGCGCCCATGTTTTTCTCTAAACTACATTTCAAGAAGCATTCTTCCTGTAGATTTAAGAAACAACAGAAAGTCAGAACTAAGTTTCATTGCGAGAATCTTCTTGTATTCCAGTTATGAACTCCCATGAAAGGTGTACCATAAAATGTATCGTTTAAAATCCAATAGATTTTTTCTTAAATCATTCACCAAAATTTTCATAAACCTACACCTATAAATTTTAATTCTATCATTTGCTTATGTATTCTTTTAACGCTTTATATAGTTTCAACTCTCTCTCACTCAACTAGTTTTTAGCAACTTTGGCCAGAAATCAAGAATGAAAAGATACTATACGGTTTTTTTGTATCTATTTGATTGTTTTTGTTTAAAAAAATAGTACTTCTGATGAAAACTTTCATACTCATTTAGAGAAATCTTATCTGCTGAACATATACTTGCACAAAATACAAAGTAAAAGTCAGAAGTTTGAGGTTTACCACTAATTTTACCTCCACTAGCAAATTGTTTGTTCAATTGATACTATATTCCCCCTAAGTTCCCCGGAGCTGTCTAAATTTTCAAGTTGAGTGATTAGAAAAGCTGAACACCATTTAAAGCAGAAAACAGTAAATAACTTGGAACATAAGACTTCAAAAAATCAATACAAATTATGTTGTAGAAGCAAAAGAGAGATTATGAAAAGTTTTGAAGAAGTTTTAGCTGGAATAAAACCACTTTCTAATGTGCTCATTTTTATCTTTTGCCAATTTTTGTTCAGTACTAGTACAGTTCGATAAGCAGAAATTTTGTGGAATTTGAGAAAAAGAGTATACTTTCATCAAAATTGAAATAATTTCGTCAAAAAACAGAGGTATTTTTTGACTTAGAACATAAGACTTCGCCAAATGGACGTCAAAAAACAGAGGTAATTTTTGACGTAGGTATTTTTTGAAAAACGGAGGTCAAAAACAGAGACTTCGAAAAATGGACGTCAAAAAACAGAGGTTTTTTGACTTAGAACATAAGACTTCGAAAAGTGGTGTTCAGCTTTGATTAGAAAAGCTGATCACCATTTAAAGCAGAAAACAGGAATTAACTTAAAACATAAGTCTTCGAAAAATCAAGACAAATTATGTCGTAGAAGCAAAAGAGAGATTATGAACAGTTGTGAAGTTTTAGCTGAAACAAAACTACTTTCTAATATGCTCATCTTTAGTTTTTGCCAACATTGGTTCAGTACTAGTGCAGTTTGATAACTAGAAATTTTGTGGAATTCGAGAAAAAGTCTATACTTTCATCAAAATTGCATTAATTTCGTCAAAAAACAGAGATATTTTTTGAAAGTTTTCTCTAAAATTTCCTTCTATATATCCAATTTTAAAAACGATGAAAAGTGTGATAAACGATTTGATAAAATATGATTTTAGGTCAAATCAGCAAGAATGTTGATATTTTTTAGAACTTGCATTGATTTTAATCGTTGACGAAAAAATACAAGGAAGATTCGATTCATGAACTTATTTTTTTATGAAATTTCTTTTCTTATGGCCATTTATTATCAATGGAGATGGTTTTATTAACAAAGAAAACCTTGTTAAAAATACATATCAAAGACGTAAAAAAGGAAAAAATTGGATAGATGCTGAGTCTAATATGAAACACTTTACTTCACCTGTTCAAAACTAAGGTAAATTTCACAATTTTTCCGATGATTCGAAAGCTTCGGCATAGAATTAGCTGATCTGAGCATTGTTTCTAGTATTAACAACACTATAAATTTCGCATTTTAGCTTAAATTAGATCAAATTTTGTCGTATGTCTGTTTTTTGAGGAAAAAGAGAGGAAAAAATCTCAAATTTTTATCAAAGTTTTGAGTAATTGTCTTAACATGATAGCAATTAAACAACAATTTGAGTTTTCACGCTTTTCACATGAAACGGCATTTGTTTTTTACAATTGGATGAAAATCTTTTGAAAAAATTAGCCAAAAACCTGCTGTTTGAAAATTTTTTTCCAAAAACTTGAGAATCTTTCTAAAAACTTGAATTTTTTGTTAAAAAATTTGAATTTTTTGAATTTTTTTTTCACAATTCATCACCTTACCATCCGAAACCTATCATAAAACATTGGGAAAACTTTTCCTGATCTTACTGCAAGGCAATTTTGTCATTTATTTTGATACATAGGGGCATCTATACACTATCTTAATACATGGGGCGCAGAAAAAATTTTGAAAATCCAATTACCATCTGAAACTCTGAAATCCATGACCTATCTTAAATCATTAAGAAACCTCTTACCTATATTAAAATGTAGGGGTGAGATTGGATAGTCTATAGCCTATCCTAACACATGGTGGTCTCCATTGCGTAGCTCGATTTGGCTCCAACATATAATACTCACCAAAATATAAACAATTAGTTATGAAAGCATGATTATATAGTCACGGAAATTTGAATATATATAGTTGCAGAAGTATAAACATATACTGGCGGAAGTATGAACATATATTCGGGAAAATAAGAACACATAGTCGCGGAAGTATGAACATAGAGTTGCGTAAGTATAATTATATAGTCAGGAAAGTATGAACATATAGTCACGGAAAATCAAACATATAGTCCTGGAAACATAAACATATGGTCACGGAAGTACGAAGATCTCGTCGCGGAAGTGTGAATGTATAGTCACAGACGAATTATCAAACAGCCGCATAAGTATGAACACATAGTCGCGAGAGTATGATGAGAAAATCGCTGAAGTATGACGACATAGTGTCAGGAGTATGAACATCTAGTTGCGGCAGTAAAAACATGAAGTCACAGAAATATGAACATATAGGCGCGAAAGTAAAAACATATAGTTGGGAAAGTATGATAATATATGCACTGAAGTTGAATATATAGTCACGGAAGAAAAAACATAAAGTCCCGGAAGTATAAAAATATAATCACTGAAGATGAACATAAAGTCGCGGAAATAAGAACATAAATTAACGGAAATATGAAGATATAGTCGCGGAAGTACAAACATATAGTCGAGGAAAAATGAACAAATAGTCGCAAAAGTATGATAATATAGTCGCGGAAGTTGAATATATGGACGCAGAAGTATGAACGCAGAAAGTTGAACAAATAGTCGCGGAAGTCTAAGCATAAAGATATAGTCGAGCAGATAACCGCTGAAGTGTAAAGATATAGGCTCGGATGTATGCTAATATAGTCTCGGAAGTATGAGCGTATAGTTGCAGCAGTAAAATAATAATCACGGAAATAAAAACATACAGTCGCTGAAGTATGAACATATAGTCACAGAAGTATAAACAAACATCTACGGAAGATGAACATAAAGTCACGGAAGTACGAACATAAAGTCACGGAAGTACGAACATATAAACGCGGAAGTATAAACATACAGTCACGGAAGATGAACACATAGTCACAGATGTATAAACATACAGTCACGGAAGATGAATAAATGGTCACGGAAGTACGAACTAATAGTCGCCGAAGTATGAACATATACTCACGAAATTATAAAAATACAGCCACGGAAGATGAACATATAGTCACGGAAATACGAACTAATAGTCGCAGAAATATGAACATATAGTCACGGAAATATAAACATACAGTCACGGAAGATGAACATATAACCACGGAAGTACGAACTAAAATTCGTGGAAGTATGAACATATAGTCACGGAAGTATAAACATACAGTCACGGAAGATGAACATATAGTCACGGAAATACGAACTAATAGTCGCGGAAGTATGAACATATTGTCACGGAAGTATAAACATTCAGTCACGGAAGATGAACATATGGTCGCAGAAGTATAATAAATAGTCGCAGAAATGTGAACATATAGTCACAAAGTCTAAGCATATGGTCGTTAAATCATGAAAACAAAATCTAGAAAGTTGAACAAATAGTCGCGGAAGTCTAAGCATAAAGATATTGTCGAGCAGATAACCGCTGAAGTGTAAACATATAGGCTCGGATGTATGCTAATGTAGTCTCGGAAGTATGAGCGTATAGTTGCAGCAGTAAAATAATAGTCACGGAAATGAAAACATACAATCGTCGAAGTATGAACATATAGTCACAGAAGTATAAACATACATTTACGGAACATGAACATAAAGTCACGGAAGTACGAACACAAAGTCACGAAAGTACGAACATATAGTCGCGGAAGTATGAACATATATAGTCACGGAAGTATAAACATACAGTCACGGAAGATGAACATATAGTCACGGAAGTATAAACATACAGTCACGGAAGATGAACATATGGTCACGGAAGTACGAACTAATAGTCGCCGAAGTTTGAACATATCGTCAAGGAAGTATAAAAATACAGTCACGGAAGATGAACATATAGTCACGGAAATACGAACTAATAGTCGCGGAAGTATGAACATATAGTCACGGAAGTAAAACATACAGTCACGGAAGATGAACATATAGTCACGGAAGTATAAACTTACAGTCACGGAAGATGAACATATGGTCACGGAAGTACGAACTAATAGTCGCGGAAGTTTGAACGTATAGTCACGGAAGTATAAACGTACAGTCACGGAAGATGAACATATAGTCACGGAAGTACGAACTAATAGTCGCGGAAGTATGAACATATACTCACGGAAGTATAAACATACAGTCACGGAAGATGAACATATAGTCACGGAAGTACGAACTAATAGTCGCGGAAGTATGAACATATAGTCGCCGACATTAGAACATAGAGTCGCGGAAGTATATAGAAAAAAGAATGAATGAAAAAGCCAACAATAATGAATTTCAGCATTTCTTGCAAGCATAAATGTACTATAGCTTAAACACAAAACAGTTTTATTACAAATAAGGTTAACGATTTAAATTAAATTGCTTCTGAACGCGCAAATCTGTTACGATGATTGGTTTAAGGTTATCGTTGGTTTTGGTAGTTAGCTGATGACCAATTCGGCCGGGTGACATTTCGGTTGATCGCACCGTTGTGTCTAAAATTTTCCGATGAATGTTCTTGACTGGTTGTCCGATGCCGAGTGATTCGTCTTTCGTTCGTCACACTTCGTGAAATTGACGAGGCGTTCTGTCGTTCCAATGAAGTCCACTGATTTAGGTTTTGATCACGACTTGTTTCACCTATTACGTAATTTTTACCTGGTCTTGACGGATTGGAGCCATCTGATTGGTCGAAAGAGACTCTCGGCCTAGAAGAATCTGATTGGACCGGTCTTTTCCATCTGCCGCTGGGTGGTTGGCTGAAATTTAAATCATTTTCAAATCTTGATTCTCGAGGATCGTTAAAACTTACAGAAGGCCTGAAAGTGTTGTCATTAAATTGCTGTCGAACAGGAACACTTTGATTATCGAAGCTATAAGATCTCATATTTGAACTGGGATCAGCAGGTTTCGAATTGTCCGATTTTCCATTGAGCATGTGTGTTTGCGACGCCGCCAATCGGTTGCTAGGCGGGATCAGTCGTGGCATTGTGGGGTCGAAAAGAGGATCTGAAACGAGTCTCGAGGCGGCAACTGGTCTTCCTTGTATTTCTGTGACTGAACTGTCATTCTGCACGATGGAAATCTGAACGAAAACTTTTTCAAAAGAACAAGAATGGAAATAGTTTATGCTATTGGCGCAGAAAATTCCAGATTAAACAACCTTTTACAAAAAAAAAAACAAAAAAAATCGAAAAACAGTTAATGTTATTCTTTTCCTTACTAATTTTGTTATTCCGATCTTTGAAAATCGGGAGGAACTTTGTACTCGGGTGCACTTTAGTTTTTCTCTTTTTTTCTTTTGTTTTCCACGCAAAATCAGGTATCACAAATAATCATTGGACTGGGTTGAGTGATAAATATCAATTTAAAGCCCTTACAGTCGTGACTCGAACCACATTAAAAAAATTTCAAATGTCGGGAAACCGGTTTGAAATTTTCGATTTTTCGTCTTATTTCGAGCGAATAAGGCGAGCGAGCAGTCTCATTTTACTTGCTTAATAGATTAAAATAGCGGAATTTTAAAAGTAAAAACCTGGTTTTATTTGAGTAACTTTCGTTTACTTTGAGTATTTTGGCGCCTTTTTTGAATCATTTTTTTTTTCGTTTTTCTAACATTTTTTCTACCAAAAAATTGTTCTTAATTTTGCTCATTTTACTATGGCTATCGAATATACCTAATCCCCAGTTCTTGATTCAACTTTTAATACCCATTCCAAAAAAAACTACAATAATTCGAAAAAAGTTTGTTGTCTTTTTTAAGACTTTGGTCGGAACATTCTATGCTAGGTAATTTCTTTTTTTTAAAAAAACTTTTTTTAAAAAGTAGTCTAAAACATCGAAAACGTTGACTCAATTGACGGCCTGGTAATTTGACGGTCAGGTAGTTTCATTTTTTCAAAAACTTTTTTCTGCAGTTAGTTGGTCGCAAAGTAGTCTAAAACATTGCAAGCTTTGACTTAATTGAACACAGATATTTTTTGGAATGGGGTTTGGGGGAGGGGGTTGACCAGTATGCGTAGTCGAGCAGTGTGTGTTTTTATTATATATATACATACATCATTTACGCCAAAAGCATTTTGTAAGTAGCTAAATTTTGAGAAAAGTGGGTTGGTGTTCCGGAAATGAGCCAGAAAAAAATAATTCACGATGGTTCTGGAAATGGTTCTTTGTAAATCAGAGAGTTTCCAGTTTTAAAAAGTACCCGGAATCGAATCTCTTACCATGTAGTTCCAAATGTGGGCGCGGATTGGTGGATTGCACCTGTGTGCAAAATTGGCAAAACCAATCATTGCACTTGAGTTGACTTTGTTGCAAATTGAAACACCTAGCCTTCTCACATGCAAATTATGCGGCCGTTATTTTTTTAATTTACTGAATTTTGCCACCGAAGATACTTTTAGAAAATCTTCAGAGTTCATCAACCAAAAAGATATTCTTAAGTTATAAGCTGTCCTCCGCACGCCTTTTTTATAGCCGGAGTTAAACCACTGGTAAAATGTTATGTTCGACGAGATTGCTGATATTGTCTAAAAAGCTTCGAAAATAAATTTGAAAAAACTTTTCGGCTATTTTTTTCACAATAGATTTCAAGCACGGAACTCTTAAGAATTCTGACTCGCTTTTTCAAAAAATAAACCCTTTTCACTCTTTTGCCACAAATTGCGTTATAATAGCTTGCAAAAAAAAACATCCGTTTTGGTCAGCAAAGAACGAAGGTAAATAAATAGGGCAAAATTATTTCAAAGAAATTTTTTCAGGGCCAAACAAACTGAATCTTTTCAAACTCTTGTGTAACGCCCAAAAATATGCCTTGTTCCTTGTTGTATATACTTGTCCGACTTCAAACTCCTCCGAGAAAGCTAATATTTGATGAAAATCGCCGAATTGGTTATATAGGTCGTCATTTCCTCTCAACCCTAACCATACTCAAAATGTATAATTTGGTGCCTTTATGATAATGTCAAGGACAATTATCTAGAAATATGGAATGGTAAAATGATACAACAGAATAGACACAATGGGAATGACTTGTAACCATGCATGAAGAAATGACAAAAAAAACTATCCGAATTGTTTATGATTCAAAAACGTGATTTTTGTTTAACTTTGCAGAGGCGAAGTGGAACTTTGCACCACTTGCGATACAACACAAATATAGCATGGCAAATCAGCCGACAAAGTTTCTACAAAAACAACTCATTCGAAAAGAATAATCACAGTGTCCAAACAACTCATTCGAAAAGAATAATCACAGTGTCCAAACAACTACAGTCAAGGGACAAGCAAGTGAACAAAATCTTTTCTTCACATTTTGTGGTTTCTTCTGCATTTTTATAAGATATAGGTTACAGGGTTCAAATTTTGACGCGATAGTTGAAATTATTTTTAAAAAGCTAGCGGGATTAACTTTTGAGAAAGTTTTTATTTGAAGGCATAAACCTGCCAGTATATCATAAAAAGCTCCGGAGGTGTTTTTGTGTGGTAGTACTTTTGCAAACAACACAAGGAAAATGAAATTATGGGTTCAAAGCGTTCTTTGGAAATCTGATGAGCTTGACTTTTTCTGTCTGCCGCTGAAAAACGACAGACAAAAAATTGAAATCGAAGAGTTACTTCGTCCGGCTTCAAAAAATAGTCTTTTTTGACAATAGAGACAATAAAATTTCTTGGGCGCTCATACTAGAAAGTTGAACAAATCTTAGCAACCACATAACTGCTTATAAGAAAAAATTCGCTATTCGCAATTTTCAGATTATCGCGACTAATTTTCAGAAAATCGCGAACACTGTCCAGACTATCGCGGTCAATTTTCAGACTATCATGTCTGATTTCCACACTATCAGGATTAGTAACTATCGCGACTATTTTTCAAACTCTGGTGATCATTTTTTATACTATATTGCGACTACTTTCAAGAGTATCGCGGCATTATTTCAGACTATCGCAACTAAATTCCAAACTATCGTTAACGAAACTCGAGATTTCCGGACATCATCCATAACTTTAAAATACCACTATGAATTTTTAGTCTGTGAATTAAAATTGGCAAAATTTTGAAAGTCTGGAAATTAGTATGGACCTGGCCGCGGGAAGTTTTCCTTAAATGTTTTTTTTTCTTTTTTAACTAGAAACGTTTCAAGGAGCTATCTCAGAAGTCTAATAAGCTCACATTTAAATTTCTGTGTCTATTTTTTGTAATTTTACGCGGAATCCACCTAACTTTTGTAAGTGGAATCCATTTACATTTTGAAACATGTTTAAAAATTTGTCTCTGGATTCTAGTGACCTACAAACACCAAATGGTGCACCTATCCAGTGCACAGTTTGGCTTCGTAATGAAATTCTTACCCCATTAGCATTGTTCACATGAAGTACAGTCGAGCTGATTTTCCGCTGGTCAGTTCCATTTGCCGCTCTTTTTTGTTTCGCGCGCTCCAGCGCTGCCTCTAGACCAGAATCCGTTGTTTCTAAATCCAGATCTCGGTGACCTCTCGGACCCGATCTGAAGTTATTCACGGGACCGAACGATCCTCGTCTATCTCGCAAATCATCGTTAAATTCTTCGTGTTTATTGTCCTGCCGAATTTGTAAACTGGTCGTTGAGTTAAACTTTGGTCGTGTGCGATTTCTCGGCTCTTGGTTCGGCGCTTCGGTGTAAGTTGTCGTTGAGACTCGACTGTTTGCCGAAGTTCTCATCGCGAGTTCAGTAGTGCTTGTCGAATACTCGCGACCTCGAGTTGGTCCAATGGGGACGTTAATTTCAGTACGAGATCCACGAAGTCTTAAATCATTCACACTTTGAGTGTTCAGTCTGGTTCTGGACCCACTGCGGTCGTCGCCTCTTGCACCGTGCATTAAAGAAGGGATGCTTAAATTACTAGAACTGTCACACATGCTGGCCAAATTGTTGCTGGACAGTCTGGTCCATGTTTTGGCCTTGACCTCAATCGGTTGTCCGATATTTGAACGTTCGTCCCCATTTGCACGACTTGACTTGCGACTCGGCAGCGTTTGAGATTCGGCGTAACTTCCAATCGGTCCGAACTGAGATCCGGGAGTCGTGCGCCGGTTGTATTTTCTGGGCGCGTCGAAGTTTCCGTCAACGCCACTGGTCGTAACATCATTTACGACTCGTGGAGCCGAACTGGGACGAAGACGTGGGTTAACGGCCGAAGTCGGGCCCGAGTAGTTTGAATTTCGAGTCGAATTTACAGATAAGTTGTCGGGTGAGATCACATCATTACGTCGACTATTGCTATCGATTACATAATTTTGCCGAGTCGCACGGGAATATGGTGATGAATTTATGGCTGGGTTGGTGCTGAAACTCTGCGATCGTTGCGGAAAACTATTGTCTCGACTGCGTTCGGCTGGATTTAAAGAAAACCCCGAATTCAGCTCCCCCGATTTCTTCCGCGACAGTAGAAACACGTAACTCGACGACATAGTTTATTTCAACATTGGGAACATTTCACAGAATTTGAGCAGAAAAACAGTTGCGCTTTGGTTTCAAACGGCGTTTTCCGCTGAGAAACACTGTTGATAAAAGGCCGAGTTGGTTATTTCCAAGTCAAAATGACCAATTTCATGGACCATGTTTTCCTTTAGAACAAGAAACTTAGCTGAAGTTATATATATATAGACATGTTTCGTAGTTCAGGGGCAGAAAAATCGACAGTTTTTGGTCGTTAACTTTATTAGAAATATCTCCAAGCATACAATCCAATATTTGAGAGCATTGAAAGCGATTTTAACTTATGGTCTTATGATTGAATTGTCGCCTAAATGGTAAAATTTATCTTTCTTTAAAGCTAAATATGTTCTCAGTTCTGCCGGTATTTGAGGCTTGTCGCCTTTTCCTTGCCATATTTTATCTCAGAAACGCAACGGGTACTTTCAGCTATTTTCAATGCTGATTTCCATAACCCAGTTATAAATTTAACTCGTTATATTGGAATTCTAAATTAAGTTAGGGCTTCAAATGTATATTGTAACCTACCTAATCCTGGTTTTGACAGAGTAAACAGTTCAAATTGAAACGAACACTTACTTTTCGTTTCCCGTAACACTTTCAGTATTTTCCTGAACTTCTAAGGATTTTACAAAGAAGAGAAACCTTCCAGTGAAGTTCTTTCAACAATCTACTTCTGAAAATTTTCGTCAAACCTCATTAAAAACACTCTCCTTATAAACTTACTTTTATTTATACTTTTTCACTTTTTCCTCAGTTATCGCTGCATCATGATTTTGATCATTTCATCGTGACTATGGCACTCTATGGCTAAGATTAACTATCCGTCAATCACGACAAGAATATACAATAATATGTCCCTATTTCCTTCTGCAAAATGGATAACTTTGGATCTGAGGAGTAGACTGATTTCCGATGAAAAAAGACTGCACAAAAGTCTTGGTTTTAATATGAATTTTTTGCCACATAATTTTCGAACCAATTGGGTTAAGCAAGCTATAAGAATCATCGAAAAATTGCCACGTTAGAATCGTTTTTTTCCACGTAAACGCCATTCAAAACCTAGTTATAAAAATTCTTTTCCCAGAAAATCGAAATTTCGATCTTCTTTTCAATCAGTCGTCTCAGTCTACGTATTCTACCTTTAAACTAAATGGGTAAATCAAGTATGAAGTTGTTTATTGTTTCCTCAATTACTATACCCGAAGGGTTTGATATGCGCACAGTTTCGGGACTGAATTCTCAATAAGTATACTTTTAGTCAGAAAACAGCTTGGTTCAGTTTTGACTTCAAGCTAACTTCTACCTGAAAACGAACATGCTCTAAAAAGTAAAGTCATAAAATTCAATTTCTAATATTACTCGCAATAGGACTCTTCGTTCAGGGCAAAACGTTGAATGTTGCAAGTGCCTTCTAGCGTGTTTAAAAAATTTCGAACCCTCTAAAGCCCCCCCCCCCCACCCCCCCAACACGCTATGCATGCAAATTGATGAGTTTGACGCCGGGTAACCTGCATGTTAACAAGATTAACAAGATTAACAAGACCCAATTACTTGCCTCAAACACATTTGGAAGGTTTTGTGAGCCGGATTAAATCGCCGCATACGTATTTAGCTTGAAATAAATTGCGCGTTAATTGTCCGCGATACATTTCGCGCGAAAAATTCGATTCTAAACTGACTATTCGAAAAACCAAAAATTGTTCGAAGCCAGAAATGACCCCGCAATAGAATATTCCGTCACTTTCCAGAAAATTCGCAGCAGCAAAACATTAACAAAAATTTTAAGAATCTTGGAGGTAAACTCATTTATTCATTGTAGCAAGAACTAGCTGGGTTCTCATAATTTTGCAGCGCACAATATCCAAAGTAGATTAACCTTTTGAACCAAAAAGGTTGAACTTTTCGAAAACATGAAAAACGTATTAAAAGAGCGGGTTGATTTCATTTTAATCGAACAGATCAAAGCGCTTTTTCACAATTTTTTGTAAAAATTAGCAAGATTGTAAAATGACAGCCTGTTGAAACTTTTTTGCGCAAGTTAACACAAATTTGCATTGGAATAAATCCGCATCGGAAACCAATGGATTACAATTGGTTATATTCTCATTGCATAGCCAGTCTCTACATAACTCTAAGAAAATCGATTATAATCGAATTAAGATGGATTAAAACGCTGCTATTTTTAAAGCAATAAATCCATTTTAAATAGATTATTATTTAAACTAGCTGTGGAAGTTGCATTTTCTGATCAAACCGTAGATAGGTTATAAAAATTATTATACTTAATTTATTTGAAAGTAAATAATTTTAATGGTTTAGAATTGATTGCTGATCAGGTATGAATATATTGGGCGAAGTTTTTATTAACCGAAAATGAAAAAAAAAGTAATTCATCCGAAATCTAAAGTTTCAGCTGCAGATCTTTTTGATTTCGCAGAACTTGATTTTTCTGCACGTATATTGAGACATCAGCAACTGGCACAATTTATACAGCAAGAGTTTTTTTGCCGAAATAATATTAAATTCATGTTTCACGACACGTTTTTTATTTTGCGTATAATTGTTTTTGCCTAATGAAGCCGCTTATAATTGAGCCACGAGGCCTGCGTTCAGTAATCCGTGGAAATTTCCGAGAAGCAGAACAAACAATAGTGCAAACATCCGAAAAAAAAAATACTAATGAGTTTGATGAGTTCCAAAAAAGTTTTAAATGAGTTTTAATGAGTTCCAAAAAAGTTTGAGGTTGTTTTGGCAAATATTAGAGCTCCGAAAGATTTCACACAGAAATTTTTTAATCTCTTGAACTCCAAACTTGCTCAGTAATTAATCAGTAATATAACGTACGACTATCAAAAAGACATTTTATTTCGCTTAACGGTATTTAATTAAGACACAGACGTGAAGCGGAGCTTAGTTACACCTCTGATAAGCACCATAGCATATTAATTTAGGTAACAAAAAAATGCAAGTCATTAATGAGAAGGAAAAATTAAATTTCATTTCAAGGAAAATCACTTTAAATTTATAATAAATAAGCTAAATTCTAAGGGAGACGCTCGCTGAGCCAAAAACGTGCCCAATATTAAAAAAAAACTTAAAAGCAAATCTAAGTTAAAAAGAAACCCTACACAGATACGAAAAGAACCTTCGCACCGCACGAATTATCGAACCAGTATAGCGTTGCAAGCTGGCAGTCAAAACTTTTTTTCATAATCAGTCAATTATCTATTTGGTTCATTTTTTCAACATTTTGTTTCGTTTAGGTCCACGTTTTACATTACTAGCAGAGTCTGCACATAGCTAGCCAATTTCTCTTCATTGTAGAACATCCGTAAATCTAGGGTAAGAAATCATGGTCTGAGCCAAGACTCCTCCACTTGGTCCTTGTGCCTCCGATGCACACACTGGAAGCACGGAGCACGGCAAAAGACAGCCGGCACTTCTCCCAGCTCATAGTTTTACTGTATGGTTTCTCCCACTTGGTAGGTAATGCTTCTCCTATTCTCCGAAGGAAACTTGCGAATTCTGGAGCAAGCATCCCATCAACAGACACGACAAGAGGAGTGAAAGACATAGGTCTTTCCTGACACGCGTCTGAATATTTTGTCTTTTTCTCAACCTCTGGGGAGTGCAAAACACTCTTGGGGCTTTTGTTCTGATAGGAGATGACGTCGGTGTCAGAGACACGAATATCAAAAGACGCTCCTCCCTGTCTAACATAAACTCCACGACAAAACAAATCTGCAATTAATGCGGGTGTCTCATCTTGCTGGTTGTATTCTCTAATAACAGGCTCTCTCTGTACATCCTTCCACACTAAAGAAGCTAAGTCGCCTACAGAATCCCTAATCTCATTGTGCCGTAAAGTTAAGGGAGCACCTTTTTTGCACGCTAACGCATGCCGTAGGGTGAATGGTGACTGGCAACCATCACAAAAAGTTGGCGAAGCGATCAGTTTTTGTTGTACCGGACACTCAATGCATCCCGAACCTCCACTTCCGAAAGATCAAAGTTTTCTGCAGCAATCGGAAAAGCTGGCAGTCAAAAGATTAAACAAAAGAAAAAATTTAAAAATTAAAAAAAAATCACAAAGACAGATTTTCCTTATTTTATCTTGAAAAACGTTCAATTTTAGAAAAACACGTCCAGCAATTCAATTGCCACCGTTAGATGAAAATACTTTAACAGAGCGGCAACTAAGGCGACGTAAACTTCCTTTGTGTCGAAAGCAAAACTATTCTAATGGAAAAATTGAGCAAAAAAATTAATGAACTTCTTTTTGAAACTAGATTTTTTCACTTTTTCCATGCCATTTCCCCGGTCGTATTTGGAGAGTGCAACTCATCTAATTTTTAGCAGATGAATTTCAATTTATCTCGAAAAAGCATAGATACTTGCAGCCCGCCATATCGGAAACACGATGAAAGCAAAACAATTGAGGAAACTCAACATTTTTAAATTAAAAACATGTTCTAATAGCAAGCGTACTTGTAAAACTGCGTCGCCCTGTGAATTAAAAAACACCAAGCGAATAAAAAACGTTACAGGAAACAGCAGAACAATGGTTTAAGAAAAAAACGGCAAAAAATAAAATAAGAGTTGATAAATCTAGAACCCTTTACAAAAATTCAATAAGATGAGTTATCAGAGCCAGCAGACTTTTGGAAAAGAGTCAAAGAAAGCAAAAATTAGAAAATAATGACCGCTTTTAAAAAATTAATGGCTAATTTTTATGATCAATTATGAATGCTCACAAGAGCATCCGCTTTGAAACTAACCGAAAATTGTTAGTTATTCGTAATTTCCATTGCTTTTGGAAGGCAATAAACGACTCTGATCAATTTATCTCTTTTCAGTTTCAAAATTTGGAAATCTTCTAACAAAATTTTCAAAACTTGAACAATCCATGACAGCTGAAAAGGCATCTGAAGTCATGAGTATGTGAGACTTGACTTTTTGGAACTTTCGCATAAATGGAAACAAAAACAAGATAGCCAGCCGGACAATAACTAAAATTAGACACAATCCTCAAATTAGTTAAAAATTCAGTAACCTCTGAGATTCGCACCTGCGACCTAGAGATTAAGAGACTCACACACTAATCACTCAGCCACGTAAGCTTAATAGATACCAAACAATCTCCACAAATTATGTGGATAACAGATTCTATGCAATTTGCAATGCTACATTGAAACTTTCAAGTAAGTGAACACTTTTATTTGCGAGTTAGGTTAGAAAAAATGTTGGTAATAACACACTAAGTTGATCGCAGGTTTAACACAGAGATGAAGGTGCAATTTGCATACACAAGCAAAAATATGACCAATAATGCTACTGGGAAAAACTGAATGAGTAAACTTTGAGTCTACAAAATTACCTAAGTGACGCACACCAGTTATGAGGCATTAGCAGTAAAAAAAAACATTTATCAACTAACATGCCTCAATTTATAAAGCGGACGCATTTAAATTGGTCTGCGAAAAAGTTCATTAGAAAAGTACGACCCTGCCCATGTTCGAACCCTCTTATTTTGTCGCGGGTCTCCTTCCCTACCTCTACGCTACAGATCCATGATACCTTGAAGCTAAAATGCTATTTATAATACAATAGTCTGTGTTAACATCCTTAGCATTGGCTGTACTTAATAGTTGGTTCTTGATCAAAATGAACACTTTCAAAAGGAACACATTTTTTCGCAACAATATTTGCGTCGCAACAGTATTTGCGACTATGTTGAAAAAAAAAGAGAGTTCATACTAAAACACAAGTTTTGCTTGTGTAAACACTAGCCATAAATGAAGTAGACTAGAGATGCTCGGAAGTTTCTAAAGCTACCGAGCGTGATTATAGCAAAATGCCACCAAATGAGCACTTTTATTTGCAATTAGATTGGGAAAAAAAGGTTAAAATCAGCAATTACAGCCGGCGAATGGCAAAGCCATTTCCATGCTCGTGTTCTTGCTTCTATCTTAGTATAAAACGAAATAACAAAGTACCTTAAATTCAATTTACAACTATTTACATTTACTGCAATATACATATCTATAACTTCAGTACATTAAATAATTTTCAGTTCCTATTCAACTAGATTTGAGTTAAACCAAAATATAACTTTTTTTAACAAAAAAAAAGAATTAAATCTGACAGCGCAATTTTCGCAACTCGCGTTTCTAACTCCATTAATAACATTTGCAAGAATTTGCAAATAATTCTGTCTTAGATAAAGCATTGCACAAAAATACAAGAGTTTCATTTCTTTGGAAAGTTTACGTTGGTTCGAAACCAAGCTTTCTATGTATTATTTAGTCACACTTCGTTTTGTTATATATCGGACACTTCTATTTCTTTGAGACTCTTCGTGACGAAGGTTCTGTAGTCGACCATGTGTGTGACGTAATGGGCGACCAGTTGGTTGAACAGCTTATCCCACGTGCCATCTAGGAGTCTCTGTTTGTGTTCGATCGATAGCGCCTCCCGCATCGCACCTGTCACTAGTTTTGAGGTCACACTTCTAGCGCACACTTGCTCCTAAAACAAAATTACACTTTCAATTCCTAAATGGATACAGCCAAACTGAGATCTAATCAACCATGTTTATACTTTCATTGTATTAATATATGATGATATCATAAATAGACACAGAACTTCGCAAACACTAGCTAGAACACGACAAAAAGCAGCTTTATACAGTGCAAAAGTACTAATAAACCTCGAATTAGCAAAAACTCGGCTACGTCTGCGATTCCAACCTGCGACCTTGAGATTAAGAGTCACACACACTAACCACACAGCCAGGGAAGCTTAATAATAGACAGAAGATCAAACACTAGCCACAAATAAAGCAGAGAAGAGATGCTTTGCGATTTCGAATGCTACCGTGAAATTTCCAAATAAGTTGACAATTTTAATGAACAGTTTTATTTGCGAGTTAGGTTAGACAAAAAAGAGTAGGTTCGTAATAATAAAATAAGCTGACGCCAGAGTAAATAAGAGGGGTAACTCAACTATTGGGCTCAAACACACCTTTTGTTTCTAATTTCAAAAATAGTTTTACACGCCAGAACACCGAGCAACATCACTAAGCGTTCCTGACTAATCATTCATTATACCTGTACCAAAATTACACATACTACAATGACAACTCACATTCTCAATCATGAGTTTCTTGTCTTGGGGGACAAACTGGAGTGGATTAGTGAAGCCCCCTCTGGTGCTGCCCACTCCCCCTCCCCCAGCCCCCGCCCCCATCCGCTTCAAGTCACAGTCAGATGATGTGAGTGGATTATTGCTGCTGTTATTTCGCTTGCTGCTCCTGAAAAAAAATCTATTTGTAACTTGTGTTGCGTGGGCATTTCGTTCCATTTGTATCACATGCATTTCCAGTTAGTAGCGGGGCCTTATGCCTATCAATTATTATAATACACCAATGCAATTTTCCTAAAACTTTACAAGAGCAACCAATTAGTCGATCATCGAAGTTTCAAGAAAAATATTGCACTGCATCGATTAAATCTGAAACGGGGCACACGCTGAAACAATTTTCAGTCAAATTGCGGGCGTCAGGGCAACATATTTCATACCAAAATCTCCAATACCAAAATATCCAATGTATCGCAATTTTATATCCCTCTAACCTGCTGATATCTGCCGATGTGACTCTGGGAGTAGCGGAAGAGGTTGCCGAGGAGGCTGCCGAATGACTGCCCCCGTGACCTCCTCCCGTGGTGTGCGACTGCTGGTGACAGAGGGGGGAGACTGACAGAGTCGAATTGAGAACTGTCAGCACATCTCCAAACAACTTCTCCGCCTCCACTAGCTGCTCCTGAGTGACCTTGAAATAAAAACAGATAAACGATAGATTCAGAATCGACTATCAAAACATTCCAAAAAAATTTTTTCGCAAAAACCATCTCACACTCTTTGCAACGTAAGGTAACCATTATAAGGTTTAAGGAGACCTCAAAAATTGAAATTGATGACACTTAAATAAGATCCGGAAAGTTGAAAAAAGGTGCCTTGTTTCTACCTGGGTCCAAGCAACTTACTGGAGAATCATTGATCCTGCGAATGTTGAACTGACTCAATCTGTGCAATGCATAGTACTTCCACAACTGCATGTTGTTCACCATCGGATTTCCACTGCTTTTGATCACCAGGTGTTCGAGTTTCCTCAATTGAGCCAACGCATTCAGTTGATGCATAAATCTTATATTCGTCTCGTCGAAAATCAAAGTATTCGCATTTGGAAAGCGCGCTCTTATTTTCGCAAAGTGTGGCGATATATGATCGAAGTCTATAAACTTGAAAGATATATTTGTCACGTGACTAGCCGCCTGGACGCCCCAGTTTTTGTCGAGGGCCGGGATGGCACCGGATCCATACAGGTTAAGGACTTCGCCGTCTAAGTCTGCGAGATGGCAGTTGCTGATGTCGCATTCGCCCGAGGCAGAGGGAAGGTTTGCAGAGAGAGATACTGCGTTCACTGAATGTCTGAAAACACTTGAGAAACTCATCCGAACACTTTCCCTTGATTCTGTTGGTTCAATAAAAAATGATTGAGTTTTGCTCGTTTTATTATTTTTTTTCAGCATGGAAACTTACTATTAATTGAAATTCTCGTACAATGAGTGGAAATTTCGACGCAAGCCCTTTGTTCTTGCGCCGATCTAATTTCCATTCAAAAACGTAGCATGACTATTACTTAACATGGAGCGGGGAATTTATCAAAAACTTTGTCGACCTTTTTTAGGCGGACCTAACTGATTACCAAAATAATATTCCGGTTTCGCAAAAATTTTCGCATTAATATGCCTGTCCACCACGATTCTAATTTGACTGTTACCTGTTACTGAATGCCCTATGCTGCTCTCCACTTGCGTACCCTGTTGTCGAAGAATCCCCACTGAGCAGACGATCACTCATCCCCCCTCCCCCTCCCCCACCACCACTGCTGTCTATATTGGAAGAGACACCCCCCGATCGGGATCTGGCAGACTCTGCTCTCGAGGTGTTGGTGCCACCGCCACCTGGGAGGGTTCCAATTGAACCGCCAGTCGAATTTGAATTCACATCCAGTGCAGGTAGTTTATTACTCCCACCACCATTGCCTAACAAAAAAAAGTCCAGACTTTAAACAAACAATCAACACATCGTTGACAAACGGATTGATTAACTCATGAAAATAAACAATCTTCATTAACAATTCCAACATCTGAAATCAATAAGTTGAGTTACATACGTTACGGAACAAAATCAAATATTTTCAAGAACTTTATTCATTACCACAAGGAAAATTTTCCAAAGAATTTTCAAAAATCGGTTGGAAATTAGAGCGGCTTCATATATCCTTGAATCCTGTGATATGTTAAGTATAATGAAAAGAACTGATAACGCCGGTGTCGAATGACAAGAAAGAGTTAGACGGAATCAAAATCCTGTTGTTTTTCTACCTCGTGTCGATCCCCGATTGCTGTTGATGCCCCTGGACGCGGACGACGGTTTGTTTGCACTTGACGTGGTCGACAACTCCTGGTGTTGTCGCATGAGCTCGTCCCATTGTTTAGCCGCATTCGCGATCGCCGCTCGTTTTTTCTCCTGTAAATAAAAATTAAAGAATGTTTTGAACTGAATCATCTTTAGAGAACAAAGTAAATTATTGACTGTTTGAAATTTCAAGATAAAGGTCAAAGAATTTTAAATATTTATCAGATATATTCTTTTATTTTGCGGCGTAAGATAGTTTTTAAGAAACCATCACAAGAAAAGGAGAAAACAAAGAGTAAGCTTCAAATATAAATAAATCTACAACTTGAACTTTATTCTTCTGAATTAATCATTAAAAAAACAATTAAAACCAATACACGTGGTTCACTTGAATAGCCTGCGACATATAGTTCATACTTAGAAAGAAAGCTGCATTTCTTAAACAAATGCGGAAAAAAAACTAGGTCTAATAAGGACAAAAATGCAGAACACAAAAACTCTTCGTACTTCAAACTCTGATCCAGGAGTCAGTTGCCTTAACCATTCAACCATGGCGGGCTCTTGGGCTGATCTAATTTCACGCATACTATATTTTATATATCAGGCAGCAAAAAGAAGCTTTATTAGAGCGGATATAGCTACAGAATGCGGATCATCTCTATGACTTATCACTAAAATGTGCAACTTTGTTTGAGCGAAAATTGGACTGATCTAGAAACACTTCACTTACAAGATCCCTGGAGTAATAACGTAAAAAGGACGCCACAAAACTACAGCAAAAATTTCAAAACAATTCCAAGGCTAGGCTCCATTTTGAAAGTGAGAATGGTTATAACACTTTGATATCCATGTGTTACAAATGAAATTATTCGATGCAGTTTTAAGATTCTACAGCCAAACGACGTCAATGAAGCCCTTTCGTGCACCCTTTCGTGAAATCGACCATCACTTTAACTCTTTTTGATGTCAATGGTACATCCTTTCAGTCCCTTCAGAAGAGTATGAATATCAGAAATGAGTCATGGACATTATATTGCTTTCAAATATTTCATAGACTGAATCGCTTCGCAAAAAGTTTATGTTTTCCTAAGCAAGGTTAAAGCTATGAAACTTCAAATTGTTTCGTAGACCGATTAGGTTTGCAAAAATTTTAATCTTCTCTAAGCATGCTTTTAAAGCTATGACATTTTGTATTATTTCAAGTTATTTCATGGACCGAATCGCTTCGCAAAAAGTTCATGTTTTCCTAAGCAAGGTTCAAAGCTATGACATTTTGTATTATTACAAACTATTTCATAGATTGAAACGGTCCGCCAAAAGTTTAAGTTTTTCTAAACAAGCTTTTAAAGCTATGAAACATTGAAATATTTCAGGTTATTTCTTGGATCGAATCGGTTTGCGAAAATTTTCATTTTTTGTAAGCGAGCTTTTAAAGCTACTAAACTTTGAATTATTTCAAGATATTTCATAGACTGAATCGATTTGTGAGATGTTGGGTTTTCTAAGCGAGCTTTTTTAAGCTATGAAATTTCGAAGTATTACAGGTTTTTTGATAGACTGAATCGGTTCGCGAAAAGCTCAAGTTTTTTGAACCACCCAAGTCAAATTATGAAGTTCTGAAAACTTTCAAGTTTTTTATAGATTGAAACGGTTCGCGAAAAGTTGAAGTTTTTCTAAGCAAGCTTGTAAAGCTAGGAAACTTTGAAATACTTCAAGTTATTTCTTGGACCGAATCGGTTTGCGAAAAGTTTAAGTTTTTCTAAGCAAGCTTTTCTGGCAATGAAACGCTGAAAGTTTTCCATTTGTTTCATAGACTGAATCGGTACGCAAAATTTTCTTTCTTAGCATGGAGTTTGCTGTTTCATGTGATTCGTTCCAGACTGAACGTTTGACAGTCCCAGACAGAAATGAAATAAAATTTAGGACAGGTACTTATGGGGACTAAAATTTAGGACAGGTAAAATGAGGCAGGTACTGTCTAGCCTTGAAGTTGGATCGAGTTTATCTTCTTCTGATGGTTGCTCTGAATGCTTCTCAAACGTTGCGCTCTATAGCCTTTAAAACATTGTCTCCTGATAATTCCTGAGCATTGTGTTCAGGTAAACATTGCGTCCATAGCGCATTCCGACTTTCATTTAATATATAAGACAAAATTTGGAGGTCAGAATTATTTCAGAAATTTGATACGTTGTCCGATAAATTTGTTAAAAGCTATGATTCGTTCACACTCACAACAGAAACATTAGCCATGTGGGATCCATTGAGCCTCGAGGCAGGCAGCTGGCCGAGACATACACAGTTGGGCAGGCCATTGTGGCCTGCGGGTCCTGCCGCTCCGGTTGCATTGAAGTAGTAGGAGGGAGTGGACACTGAGGCCATAGAGTGGCCACTGTTTTTAGGGAAGAAGAGGGTCAACCAAAACAACCAACTTAAGTAGACTTGAAAAAATGAAGAAAAAAAAGACAACACAAGCTCTGCGAAACTCCTGCTTGTTATATAAAACCGTCGCTCCCAATATTTCTGTTTTACTTTTACCATCCGAAAATTTCTCCTAACGAAAAGAATATTCAATTCAATGCTCCTTAGTACAATTCATGAATTTGTCTAGCCAAATTATTTCTTTCGGGCTATTTTTTCTGTAACAAATAACTCGAGCTATACATATATTGTATGGAGGAGTATACACAATCTGGTTGATTTCATGTCCTCTTCCCTGTATCTACTATGGTGTGCTGGGTGGACCATAGGTATGGCTCCTCCTAGACCCCGTTTGTGGATGGGCGCCACGGGGTAGTGAGTCGCAGAAGCTGTATTGAAGGGCGCATAATTGTAGCCTGATGGGAGCAGGGGAGGCGTGAAAGCAATTTGAGACCGAAACCAATTTAACGATTATTTGAGATTCCTTCAAATATTCGTATGGAAAAGTTCATCTCGCTTGATAGCGACAAATGTCAATTTTATTAAATAAAAAAACAAGTTGAACTTTTATAAAAAAAGGTTATCTGCAAATTTTTGCTGGCTATAATTATCTTAAATTTTTATTGGGCTACGAAATAGGCTCATGAGGACGTATTTTTGTCAGCAATTGAAACCGTAGTTTAAGCTTAATTTTAGATTGACTACAAAAAAAAACCGTTAAATTTTGAGAATAAAAAATTTTTAACAATTAGCGGCCAATACGGTAGCAACATAAGTCGCGGATCTAAGCCCGAAAAAAGTCAATTAAAATAAGTCAAAATAAGTTAAGATTCGAAAATCAAGTAGTTAAAACAAGGTTTCGCTGAGAAAATGAAATAATTATCTTTAACCAGACTAAACGGCGTCACTACATTAGCTTAATCACATTTGCTTATCAAGTTTTTTAAAAGTCCCTTGTTTTAATATTTCTGGTATAAATTCGGTCTGGTAAAAGTTCGTTCCATGTGTTCGCTATGTATCAATGACATTACGAATTCTACTGGGACAACTTGCAACAGAAGAAAACTTGCAAAAATCGATAACTCGCAAAACTGAAAGAGCTCGCAGTTTAAACACAAGACTTCTCGTATATCAGGGCAAAGCTCTTGATTATTACGACCTTATTTTGAAACCCATTTAAAAATGTTGGCTATGAAACTAAGAAATTACTTAAAAATTGAAGAAGAAAAATTAGTAAGGTATGTTGTAGCGTCTCGTATCCAAATGATAAGACGAATTGACACGCTTCACTTTAATTTGGAACGCATAAATCCACCGCTTACGCGTGTTATAAAAACGCAAAAAAAATCGCGCGTTAATTATCCTAAGTAGGCCCAATTAGCGCTTTTCAAACCCCCATAACTTTACATTGAATGATCACAGGTGAAATAACTTTTTGAAATTCAACTGCAGAAGTCATTATCTTTCAGATGCTATTAAAAAGCTTAATTAAAAAATCAAAATAGACAGAATAACAAGACTGCTCGTATCAGGGCAAAACCCTAAATGTTCTCACTGCTTTTTATGCCTATGAAGTAGTGTTCACGTTCAAAAAACGAAAATCGAAAAAAAAAAATGAAAATTCAAAAAAAATCCCGAGTTTTTTTTGAAAGTTATATTTATATTTTGCAGAGAATTATAATTTCGCACTTAGCAAATGGTTAAATAGACCAAAGACCATTCCTCAATTCAATTTGGAATGATTTCTGAGACGGATTAAATGTCCGCTTACGCGTTAATAGCACGAAAAATGTCGTGCGTTAATTGTTTCAAATTGGCAATCTTGAAACCACCATACATTTAGGAAACATGATCACAAGTGAAATATCTTGTTTAGATTTGAACTCAAAGCAACAATAACTTTCGAATGGAATTTAAAAAACTTTGTCCAAAATGGCTACTTAAAAATCGAAACTTGTCGGGAGAAAAAACCATCCCGAGCACAAACATTCCGTCATTTTCTTCTATATTAGTCGGAACAAAAACCAGTCCAAGCATAATAGTCCTCCTTAGTCGGAACAATTAATTAACACAGAGACAAGGCTGCGCTTCGCAAACACTAGCGAGAACACGACAAAAAGCAGCTCTATAAAGTGCAATAAGAATAAGACGAAATAAGCCTCAAATTAGAAAAAACTCGGCTGCGTCTCGGATTCGACCTAGATATTAAGTGACTCACACACTAACCCCTCAGCCACGTACGCTTAATGAGTACCAAACACTAGCCACGAATAAAGCAGAGTACATATGCTATGAAATTTCCAATGCTAGAGATCGTGATTTTAGCAAAATTGCAACGAAATAAGTGAACACTTTTATTTGCGGGTTAGGTTAGAAAAAAAGAAGGTTCGTATTAATGCACTAACGCTCGCTAGTCTAAATAGCGTCATTGGTTAACCAGCTACCGCTTTTTCCGCTGCTCTTACATTCAGCACGAATAGTATAATGCGCATGAACCAGCGTTGATGGCCGCTAATCTAAATTGTTTTGCTAGATAATTGAAGATATATGCGAAAATGGTTTTTAATTGCAAGTTTTCTTTTGTTGCAAGTTGTCGTATTACGGTACGAATAGCCATAAGTTTTGAAGAAAGTGACGGAATATTTGTGCTCGTGTCTTTTTTAGGTTTCAAATTGCGTGCATGCCTGAATAATGGCTGCTGGCCATTGGTTGCGAATTTTCCGACGTATTCGAGCGGTTCTTATTTTCACTCGCTGTAGGTTCTTGAGTTCTCGTTTCCACTACAGCCGTTCTTTCGGCCGGCGGTGAACTGTAAGACTTCTTAAGCAATGCTTTCGTCAAATGTCCACTTTTCTGCTCTTCGAACTTCTTTTTAGAATTCTTCGAGTTTGGATTTCTACAAGCAGTATTCTTTCTTTCTTTGTGAATTGTAGATGATATGTTCCAAGTTGAAGTTAGAGACCTTTCTAACGGGAAAGTCCTGGTAATGTTTCCGTGTATGTTTAAATAAGGCAGATACTCGTGTTTTAAACTATGCAAGGGTTCAAGTATGTTAGTTGGGTCCCTACCTTAAGTATAGATTGATCCTTAAAAAATATATCATTGAATATTTTGGAAAAATGTAAAACTATTTGATTGAGCTCGCCGATTTGTTAGAAAAACGGATTCTAGTCCAATTAAGTTAATATGCCAAGTAGATTGCAAGTTAAGACCAAGTTTTCACACCCCCCCCCCCCGTCCTACCCCTACAAAGTTTGCCATCATTCTTGTTTTTTTTTTCTGAAGAGACCCTACAACCATACTTGTACCTATGTGAGTAGCCAATGGATATCGACTGGTAAGTGTTTTGCCTGTATAATTTCGGAGGACGGTTTTGTTCAACTTGATTCTGACTGTCAATACTATTTTGGTTCTGGTTTGCAGCAGGAATTCTCACATCTACAGGTACAGGTGTTGTAGCGCGAGATACATTTTGACAGTTATGACCGCCAGAGAACCGGTCGGAATTCTGGTCAAAATCGCTGGCCTGTACTGGTGTCTTATGATTACAATAACACTGATGATTGTTTAGAACTGAGTGGGAATTCTGTTTTTGATAATCAGCAAACGAAAAGGACATTTCAGTTTCATCAAAGCCAACTGGAAACGTAATGAAAAGCGTGAACAAACGAGCCCAGCTGTAAACAATAATAAACGACAACATCGATAACAATAACTTACAGTTTTGGAAAACAAGTCAACCAAAGAAGACATGAAATTCATTTCACCAAAACCACAAACAAAAATATGAAAATTCTATTCCTCAACAATCTTATGACTCAAGAATAAATAAAAAACAACACACAGTCATGGTTTTAATTTTTATGGCCGTTTCAACAAAAGAACCATTTACAACAATTCATTTTATTCTAACTTTTCCATTATCTAAATTCAAAACGAAACGAAAGTAGCAGGTTGCTGTGCAAATAGCACATAATTTTTCAATGCCAGTAATCATCTTGAAAAAATTAACATAGCCAACAGACTGTTGGAAAAGAGTCAATGAACGCAACGAAACTAACATACTGACTTGTTTTTTTTTAATTTGAGAAATAATCTCAAATTACAAATTTGAAAGAAAAATAGATAACTCTAAAGCTATTGGAATTTCAATAACAATTTATGCTTGACACTTAATAATCAGCAATCTAATTGTAATTAGTACAAATTACAAAGCATAACTGACCTTCATGGCCTGTGAGCGGGCGAGTTCCTTCAACTTTTCCTCTTCTTTGCGAGACGCCATCAACGCACCTCTGCGCTCCTCGTCCTGAAACAAAGCACAGCTGTTTAAAACTCTTTCCATACCTGTGAAAGTGTTTGTTCATGCTGATGAGAATATTCCGACAAAAAAGAATTGGACAAACGCAGACGACCATTTAATTTTTCTAGAAAAAATCTCAAATATGAGTTCGAAAGAACACTTCAATTTCAATAGTACGCTAAAAAAAACTAGAGAACACAGACAGTTGGAAAAGAGTCAATGAATGCAAGTAACCAGAAAAAGCTACGGATTTATTTTAACTTTCGATTTTCTAGAAAAAAAATTGATGGCCTTAAGCTCTTTGAATTTCTGAAATAATTTATGATGGACATTTTTTTTGATAAAACACCTATTTTGATAAAACTGGATCAACAGGTAAAATTATTATTTCACTGGGAAACCTAATAATTAATTTTCATTTTCATTAGAAGTCGATCACGTTTTTCGTGACCTTTACACGTTCGGTGTTCGATAGTGGAGTTTGCCTACCTTTTAACAAAGGAAATGAACTGAATTAAAAAAAAATCAAAATCAAGCCGCGAAAAAGTAATTTTGAGCCTGACCAAATTTTAAAATTTTTCCTGAAAAAAAAGAAAAAAATCATAGCTACCTATATAGGAGTCTGAACTACGTTCATCGACTCTTAAAAATTGCTCGACCTTGTACTGAAGAATTCCCTTCAAAAGAGAACTCTCAAAGTGATATTAAAAAAGTCACGTGCCCTTGCCGACGATTTCGATGCACTCCTCAATTGCAGTACTTTTTTGCGCCACAGTTCTAGGGAAGTTTCTTGCCTCTCCAAATCAAACCCTCGCGACTGAGTTTCAACAATGTTTTCACTATCATTACGAGGAGTTGGCGATGGATTCTCTGTTTTGGATAACGACACACGGTATTGGAGGCCGGCGTTCGGAGCTTTGGGGTTCGTGTGAACGTAAAATGTCGGGCGAAAACTCTTGCGTAAACTATCTAGATCCATTTTTACTGAGACAATTTGGATATCTAATCCATTATTTCCGTGATTTAGATAAGGTTAAAACAAAGTTTCGGATACTGAAAACAAAACAATAAAACGATAGTTACCAAATATAGGCAACAAAAATTACCGAAAAATAGAAAGTTGTCTGGTATCAACTAGAAAGTAAACTGGTATCAATTAATTCTCAGTATCAACTACTTGTTTATTTTCAATGTAAGAACAAGAAAAAACTCAGTTCTAAATGTCATAAAAAATTGGTAAATCAAAACAAAGCCAGAGTAAGTTTCACCGGTAAAAATCTTAGCAGCACTTTTGCTTAAGCACAGTTGCTTATCGCATTAACTTGCTATCACAGCTGTGACGCGTCACTGATTGAAGAGGCTTTGTAGCAGTAATCTAGAGCCACTTCGATTTTCAAGGCGTCTTTGATTAAAACGAAATGGTAGTTCTACCTCAGATCACTTGTCAAAACAACATGAACACTTCAGTTTGCTCAGTAGCTCAAGTCCGATTTCCGCCAAAAACTCATTTGATAAACACCACTGGTTAAACTGAAGAAAACTTACAAGCAGCGCAAAGGTGCACTTCACTTACACAAGCAAATTGGTCTTTTCTGTTATACGACCCAAAAATATTCAATTTGTAAACTTGAATGTTCGATCATATAGCTTAAAATTAACTGATTGGTTGAAATTAATTCCAGCAAAACTAGAACTGAATTTGAATGACAATAGAAACTCGATTAATAATATGGTAATTTTGGAACGTATAACAGAAAAGTTCCAAATAAAAAAACAACGAACCGTTATAGTGGTGAGGGGAGGAGTAAACACCTGTCATTCTTTGCAAAAAAGAATACTGCTTAAATGCTTATGTTAACCAAACTAAACTCAACAGTCGACAATTCGTAATAAGGCATTGGCAAGTATAATACGCTTGCTCCGCTGCGCTTACCTGCGGCACGAGAGAATACTGCGCGTGAATCAGTGTTCGGCGCTTAATCTACTGTTACGAATTATGGCTGAAAATCAGTTTTGAGCGAAAAAATCTGTTAGCTATGGGGTTTTTCTGGGTTATCCCCCTTAATATTTAAAAGTCCCCCTCAATATTTAAATTCTGCTGTGCCCTACAAAGGAGCCTTAGAAAACTTTGGAGCTGATTGGCCGAAAATCGCTATCATTTGGGTGTCCAGACGTTCGAACACGTGAAGTTGGGCTATCAAAGCTCGCAAATATAAGTAGCCACGACGTTTCTTGGATGATAGTCAATATCTACTGTGACTTAAATATCTGTCATGACTTCTTTACATTCAGATTCGAACTAACCGATATGCGTTTCATATCCAGCTGTCTCAAGTTCGAAATCTGACATATCAGCTTCTGTCTATACGTCAAACATGACCCCCCTCCTTGGATATTAATTCCTCCCGGACCTCCGCCAGACCTCTGAGCACCCTGATTGGTAGAGTTGATTGAGTCTGCGGATGTTGAAGGGCCGTTGGGGTTGTCTGACACTGGATTCCCGTCTAGTGTCACTTCCAGAAGACTCTGGCTGCCCGACAGGGACCTCATGTCATTCAGACTGGAACAGAGAGTGAAATTTACTTTAATTTAGCCCAGAAAAACATAACCCCTTAACATTCCAACCCCATAATTAAACCCCCAATCCCTCTCCTGTATCTAAGGGAGCAATTCCTTAAATTCAAACTCCACTGATGAGTAACAGCTGGATAAACCTTTTTAAGATGCTCATTATCAGATATCATAAGTAGAAGGAGCAATGTCAAAGCGGCTAGCGTCCCCGCCTTTCAGTCTAAAGCTAGGTGATTGATACCCACTATAATCCGTGCGTGAGTGAGGTAAAAACTCTCAGCCCAGGAATACAACCAAAAAAGAAATCCAGGGATACAACAACGTTTCTCCGTAAGAGCTGAACAGCTCGTAAAATGATTTTTTCCCTTTTAAGTCTTATGACGATCCTCTCTGCAGTGGATAATTTGTTTTAAGCTTCACTTTTAAAATCTGCTCATTTCAATTATGGATATTATTAAAAAGAGGAGCATCCAAATATAGCGCAACTAACCTCTCAATTTTATTGAAGCTGAGAAACAACCTCTGTAACACAGGCAACTTCTCAATGTCATTCTAAACAGAAACAACATTGCTCGTAACAAGGCAAATTCCTTAAAGTTCCGACTGCCTTTTAGAGTGTCTGCAATTGTTTTATTTTTTCATAGAAAAAACCAACAGAAAAACAAAACAAAAACAAAGCTAGCACTTTTTTTATTTTTGATGTTCAATCTCTCAGAACGCGCTGTCAAGTATAGTGTGATATTTCTCATCTAGTATTAAGTTAATTGGTTATTTAAAGATGTCTCAATTCAATTTTGCGACGATTTAATTCACCGCACACGCCAGCGTTATCAGAAAATGTTCAAATTGGCAATGTTCAAACTCAAAAATATTTACAAAAAATGCTCGCAGATGAAATATAGTTATAATATCAAGATCAAAGCAGCAAAAGATGGGTATTAAACAGGGGAGGATCTCGGATTTTCTCGAGAAAGGGTAGATTTTCAAAAAAAAATCGAAAACTTTGTCGATCTTTTTTTTAGGTCAACCATAATGATTTTCCGAAATCTTCCGAAGCATTAAAAAAAAACCTTTTTTAAGTCAAATTTTCTGCACCGCAGGCAAAATTTAAAAAAACGTGCCAAAAAAGCAAAAAAAACATGCCCCTCAAAATAAGTATACATTGGCGCATCAGGCGCCTTTAAAATTTTTTTAGGGTGCGTCACCAAATACGGACATGTCAAAATACGACAAAGAGGGAACTAAAAGTCATTCACGCTTTTTTTCGCGAAATTTATTCTTTCGTAATAGGAATTGGCGCGAAAAAGATCAATTTGCCTTCAATTTAGCTTAGCGGATCAATTTGAATCGAACTCGAATGAAAGCGAAAAAAAAAATCAAATTTGGCGTGAACAAATCTTCAGCCTTTATCTAAAAAAACTGAACAAAAAAACCATTACGACCTTTACAAGTGACTTCACTACGTTCACACAGAGGCAGAAGTCGATCACTTTTTGTGGTTCTAAACTGAAAGTCTCTAAATTGGAAGTTTCTAAACTGGAAGTCGATCATTTTTGTGACCTTTACAGTTTTGCAGCTCAATAGTGGATTTTATTTTTCATTTAACAATGGAAATGCACTGAGCTTAAAAAGAAATCACAAGTCAAACCGCGAAAAAATTAAGCGTGAAAAAGACAGTTGAAAGTTAAAAAAAACTAGGTCTACCAAAATTTCTATTTTCCTATATCTCATTAGAAGTTAATTCTAGGCAAACATGCCAGACATTTGAATATTAAAGTAGCAACGGAACAAAATTTACAAAGAGGAAAGCCGAAAATTTTTGAGTAGACACACGTTGAGCCGGAAAAAAAAGATTTTATAGAAAAACTTTAGAGTTTAGAGTCCCAACTGAAACCATAATAAGCAACACATGCACATGCAACTACAACGAAAGTTACTCACAGCACAAGATAAACCATTGATGTAGCAACTAAGCCGACAAAATTTCAGCAGATACCAACTGAATCGAAAGGTAATTGTTTGAATTTATTTTAATCTTTCAAGTCCCCTGAAAGTAGAATGAACAACACTTACACATACAACTGCAATGAAAATTGCTTGCAGCACAAGCGAAACCCATGATGTGGCAATTGAACCGACAAAACTTGAGCAGACAAACAAAAGACCGCGCTTTTACCCTAAGGGCTGGGGTTCGAATCCTGGTCGAACCTTGTTTTTTTTCACTATCCATGAAATTGATAATTAGAACCCCAGCCCTTAGGGTAAAAAGGCAACCGTGTTACATCTAGGCCAAGTGGAAACGAACCTAAAAGATTTTAAAAGAAAAGAAAATAGAAAGTGTAAAGAAGAAGAATGTGTAAGAAAATTTGTTTACGGAAAAAAGTCTACTTACCGATTACAAGACACTTGCTCTCGCAAGTGTAAAGAAACCAAAAAAACGGATGAACCTCAAAATAGAAAAAGGTGATTTCTGATCACAAATTGAAATCGGTTTACCTTATAGTTTAGGGGCAATCCATTAAAAACAATTTGGAGTATTTGTTCAGATATGACAGTTTAAGAAACTACACATTGCCAATGCATAAATTTGAAATAGCATATTAACGGCCACCAAACAAATTTAAGAAAAATACAAAATGGACCTTTGCGCTTTTTGTGATTTCAAATTACGGTAACTTAGCATCAAACCAAAAAATACAACATTTCCTTATCGATACTGGCAGTGAATCCCTCTACTAATGAAAAGATAACCAGCTGAAAGTTAAAACATTGCCAACTGAAAGTTTGAAAAGAGTAATGAACGCAAGGAAACTATTGAATTTGGAAGAAAAAAATATATGGCCTTAAAGCTCTTTGAATTTGTAGAACAATTTATGATGGAAAATTTTATGTCAAAATCAACCCAATTTGAGAAAACTGGAGCAATAGGTTCAACTTTTATTTCGCTGGCAAAATCTGATAATTAACTTCCATTTTCGAATTGAAAAGTCGATCACGTTTTTCGTGGCCTTTACAATTTTGCTGTTCGATAGTGGAGTTTGCCTTCCTTTTAACTATAGAAATGCACTGAAATTGAAAAGAAACCACAGGTCAAACTGCTAAAAATCGAAATTGAGCGTGGTCAAATTTTAAAGACTTTTTACTGAAAAAAAAAAAATCAGCCAGACCTATATAAGAAAACTCGCTACGTTCATTACTCTTAAAAAAGTAATGAACGTCAGTAAACAGAATCAACAGTGAATTGTTTTTTTTTTGAAAAAACCGTCAACTTTTGGATTTAACAGTAAAAAATTTATGGCCTTAACCATTTTTAAATTTTAGCTTGAAATTTTTTGATAAAAATAACTCAATTTGAGAAAACTGGATTATTGAACGCGGAAAATTTGTTTACGGAAAAAAGTCTACTTACCGATTACAAGACACTTGCTCTCGCAAGTGTAAAGAAACCAAAACTGGCACGCTTAACCACCGACAAACATAAGTCACGAATAAAGCAGCTACATATGCCAATAAATTGCCAAAGCAATTCAGCAAAAGTGGCACCACATAAAATAAAGACAATTTCGCAAGTAATAATTTGGAATATAACAAACTGAAGGCATCCACAGTAACTTTGCATGTAACAAATCGCAAAGCATAAATCCACATTATGCATAAATTATGCATTTCAAAAACTTGCGATATATTGAGCTTGAAAATTTCTGAAATCGAGGTTTTATTACTGTAGGTTTTCGGTTCATTTGATGAAACAAAAATGCATCAACTGTTGTAACTTATTACATTCGAATGTCGAAGCACATGCAATCGAAAAGCTGTAAACGTGCCCCAAAAGTGGCACCAATATTTGCGACTTGGGTTAGAAAAAAAAGAAGGTTCGTAATAATACACTAAGCTGACGCTAGTGTAAAAATTAAAATCCACTTTCAAAATTAAAATTGGCTCACATTTTTTGTGACTTTTGCTGCTCGATATAAAAGTTTTTCTCTCTTCACACTTCAAGAAATTAAAACCCAAACCACGAAAAATTAAATTTGAGTCTGAAATGAGATTTTTCCTGAAAAAACACAAGTCATTACGACCTATATAAGAGTCTTCACTACGTTCATCGTCTCTTAACAAGACACAATAACTATCCATTCGCACTATCCCCCTTCTCCCACCTGTCTAAACCGAGACTGAAATGAACTCACGACATAGGTGATGACATTGCGCCTTAGATTCAATTCAGCCAGCGAGTCCAGACCTTCCAGATTGTCCACTATCTCAATCTGGTTGCCGGCCAGATTCAACACTCGCAACTCACTCAGGTGATTGAGGTTGTCGATGTCCACTATGAAGTTTCCATGCAAATCCAACACGTCCAGTTTGTGAAGCGAGTCCAGGTTGGAGATCGATCGGATTCTAAACAGATCAAATTTTCATGTAGTTCTAAGATTTTGCAACTTTAGCATCTTTCCAACTATTCCTCCGCTTCTATAAAAAATACTGATAAAACAGATGCAAATAGTCAATTAACTGAAAGAAAAAGAAAAATTTTTTCTTGTTACATCACCACAATACAGATTCAGAATTTCATGAATAACATTTTTTCAAATCAAACCTACTTTAAACTCATGCATTGTATTAAGCTTTGTATTAAGAATTCTGATTTTGCTGCATTCTGATTGGTTGATCATAAAATTCTGAAACTTGCGTTCAATTGAAAAGTGGCTTAGTTCCCAGTTTCCCACCCATGTCATGAAAATTCAACAAAGTTGTCTTTAAAGTGTCTATAGCGCTATCTGCATGCGAGAAATATGGTTCAAATCTGTTCAGTTATCAACGCTAACATATCAACAGATTTTCTTTGTCAAAAATGTCAAAAAATAAATTCAGAAACAATCGAAGGGAAAACTGGAGAAAACCCAGACAATTAAAAACAGTGAGGACTGACCTGTTCTTTCCCAGCATCAGCACCCGCAGTCCTCTCAGTTCCTCCAGACCCTCGATCTCTTCTATTCGGTTGTTGTACAAGTCAATGAAGACCAGTTTGCGGAAACTGTCCAGTCGCTCCATCTTCACAATGAGGTTGTGCTGGAAGTTCAACAAACGCAACTCCTCCTCCCCCTGTAGTACTGGCACTTTTTCCAGCTTACGCCTAGAAATCCAGTTAACAAAATTAGACATCAGTGAAAACCAAAAGTCAGAGAATTCAGTCCATACAATTATCAATCAGGAAAAATTAGTTGAACGGAACTCTTCGCACCATTATTCATACACAGAGGCGAAGCTTCGCTTCAAAACACAAGCGAAATCACGACAAGAAAGCAGCTATAAGGTGCAAAAAGAAAATTCAGAAATAAGGCTCGAATTAGTAAAAAAAAAAACCGGATGTCAGGGATTCGAACCTGCGACCTAGAGATTAGGAGTCTCACACTAACCACTCAGCCACGGACGCTTAATAGGGACCAGACACTAGCCACAAATAAAGCAGAGAACAGATGCTATGCACTTTCCAATGCTTATGTGAAATTTCCATATACGAGAATACTTTTTTGCGAGTTAGATTAGAAAAAGAAGGTTCGCAATAACACACTAAGCTGATCGCTAGTGTAATTAGTTGATACAACAAATAAAACAAAAGGCTATCTCAATGCTAAACGCCTGCTTTTTGTATAAAGACCAGATTTTTTTATCGAGATTTAATTTTTGTTCAGCGAACACTAGCTTTTACTAAGTGAGGGATCGAACCATCGATCTGGAGATTACTCGTCTCACGTCATTGCATCTGCACCATGATCACTTGACAATAAGCAAACACCGGCCACTAATAAAGCAGATTCTTTAAAATTGCCAATTTTATGCAGCAATCGAGTTGGATTAGGAACTAAGTGGATTCGCAATATAAAACTAGGATAGCTTGTTTAATTACGGACTATAGACAAAAACTGAAATCGTACATCCAGCTTTGGACTAACGCAGAACAATAACTCAAAATATACCAAAATAGTTGGCTGAAGTGCAAATATCAAAAATTAATATCTCAGTTATCATAAACAAAAATTCAAAAAACAGATTTTTTCAAATATATGTTAGAAGCAGAAAAGCGAAGGACACTACGGCTCAGTTGGAAGACCAAATCATAAAAAACATAAACAGAACGTAAGAAATACTTTACTAACACCAAGTGGCATACTAATATAAACAAATGACAAACAATCAGAGGCTTCAGAAAGTTAGAAAGTGTCAATGGACTCAAGAAAAGCAAAAATAAATGATTGACTTAGTTGACATCTTTCAATTTTCGAATTTCTGCAAAAAATTAGGCCATTTTAAAATTCTTTTAACCTCATGAATCTTTCATATTTGAAACTTCCTTCATAAATCTTTGTGACATCACTGCATAATGTCATGCATCCTTATGCTATAATAGTTTACATAATTAACCTTGTTAATGAAATGAACTTCATACATTTATATTTATTTAACTATGTAAATATTGATGGTAATTAATTCCAATCATAAGAGATTTATACCGACCTACTAATCATTTGGGTAGACTTGAACAGAATAAAATATTACAATCATGCTCTAACTTGCGCCGATCGACTAGCGATATTCCAGAAAATAAGAACCGAATCCTGCGTCCCTAAGTCTTAACCGCTCGAGACATATAAATTATGAATACAATTCAATAATAATTGATAGCCAGTAGCGCTAATTACTATCTGAACAGCTTACAACATTAACAATAAACGACGATATAACTGTCCACAGCCATCCGAAGGGACACTATATCACATGGTGACTGTCGCAGAAGATTCTACTTCTGGATTCACCAAAAGTCATCGGCAATTGAAGACTACACCACACGATCACATGGTAACAACCGCATTTTGCTGAAGCAGAACAGGACAACACCACCCGTTTCACCCAGCAACGCTCAGACGTGGAAAACAGATCAACATTCAGCGAACAAATGAGACAGACAGGGAGGAAAAGAAGACAATCACGACTTTTCAACAACTCTGGCCTGACAGTTTTTTCAATCTGCAGAAGCAGATGTGGATTGTGACCTACGAAATCTCTACCCCATGTTTTCCAGTCAGAAGGCAGGACAGCTGAGCTACTGACAAGGCAGACAAAGAAAGCAGATCTACAGGTTTTCCAACAATCAACAAAACAGTTAGTTAAAACAAACTCAAAACTCAAACCTGCAGTAAATTGATATAATTGTCATTAAGTTTCCCCACCAGAGAAGTGAAATAACGGAACCTGTAGCACAACCATATAATTGCAGCAATAAAACATGATCAGTGATACCGCTAGCTTTCTTTAAGAGCTAATTTATATAGCAAACATCCTAGTGTTTCCCCTAAATTGATTAAGTGCTGTGTCTTATCATCAACTGTATCATCTTGATATTCATTCAACTGACATACGATGGCACACGCGCAAGTTTCGGTCGAACCCTATGGAGGAACGGAAAAATAAGACTTTTCAGAATTCGAGCAACTTCTTCAAGGCTACATCTAAGAAGCGACGATACCAAACGCCCAACAAGCGAACTTCTTGCAACTACACCTACGAGATAACGCGCTGCGATTCTATCAGACACTAGGACCAGCAACTCGAGCGAACGTTCCCGCAAGTCTCATAGCACTCAGGGATCACTTTTGCAATCCTCAGCTTCAAGAAGTCCATGTTTTGAAGCTAGAACAACTACGATTCAACCCGAAAACCGATACTCCCGAGAATATCCTCGTGAACTTGACGAAAAAAGCGCAGCGAGCGTACCCGACACCAGATTTGCCAGCTGTCGCTCCAATAGATGGTTCATTAAATGGAGCAGCACTAGTCGCAGACACAGCACGATTTCATCGGGAAACTGCCCAACGACAAGAAAGAATTGATGCAGTAAACGACAATCGGAATGAACAACTGAAACGATTGTTCATCAAAGGAATGCTAGGCTGGCTGCGATCGAAACTGATGGAACAACCACCTGCAACTACAGTTCAGGAATTGTGTAGCCTGACCAAGAAGCAAATCACAATTCGTGAGATTTGCCGAAAAGACTATTACCCGGAAGACGGATTCAACGAAATAAACGACAAAGTCTCAGAAAATTTAATAAGCGCTATCACAAAATTGTCCACAAATCAGGAAAAATGGAGAAGCAGCTCAACGAAATGAGACCACAAATAGCTGAGCAGTCGAAAAAACAATCGAATCCGCTTCCCGAACAAAATCGGAACAACGACAGTCAGAGTGGTCAGTATAGTGGCTATCAGCCAAACCAAAATAACGGGTATGGACAGCAACGAGGCAACAGAGGTGGAAGACGTAGAAATAATTGGCAAAATAAATTTGATTTGAACAATACTCAGCCAAACTTTCACAATATGTCACCAGTTGCATCACAGCCATATTTGCAGTGGTACCCTCAGTATCAGCCGAACCAACACAATCAGCCAATGGTACAAATGCATCCATCAGCACAATTCCAACAGTCCCAGAATTATCCGACGCAACAATTTGGCGCAAATCAAATGCCTCAAGCTGAAACGCAAAAGCCCAACGGACCTTTTGTACCAATGGTGCGATCATCAGCCAAATTTTGTGACGTTTGTGGAAAATTCAACCACACAGCAAGTCAATGCTGGTGGCGACAGAAACCACAAGGACGCGGACAAAATTTCCCGATTCCAAACGAGCCAAAAAACTAATAAAGCCACTGAGTCAGCCCCTCAAATCATCTAAATCACCATCAAACGAACTTTTCCAACCTGATGAGATAATCAGCCTTTACGCAATAATTCCTGCGGAAGGAACAGTACTGAAGTACACGAAAATACGTTTCTCATCGGGATTACAACGTAGAGCCCTGGTCGATACAGGAGCCTGCGCAAATGTTATCTCAAAGCAGACATTTGAATACCTAAAAGAAGAAAAATCGTTATTTCGCCCTCTTGAAGTAAACGAACCCAAACTTAAAAGAGTTAGAATGGCAGGAGGACAACAAGTCTCCATTGAAACTGAAGTAACGTTAGAATTCCGATTGGCAGACATGACATTTATAGAATCATTTCTCGTCCTTCATGCAGCCAATTCAATAATCCTAGGAAATCCTTTCTACAAAAAACCTGTCCAAAGTATAATCTCCTGCATTTCAAAGACATGACTCTTCAAATCAACGAAATAAAACCTCCAAACGAGCCAAGAAGAGTCAATAGAGTGAAAAAATTCCCTTTGATTCTGACAAAACGTCAAACAATAGCCCCGCATCAGACAATCCTTGTAGAATGCCAGCTAGAGAACACATGTCAAGACATGGAACAAACTACCGGAATCGTAATTCCAGCTCAGGAATTTGAAGAAAACTGTGAAATTGCGTTCACTTCAATAAGCGAAGTGCTGAAAAACAACCTGTTGTATATCACAGCGTTTAACATCACCGATCATCACATTACTTTGCCTTTCAAAACCGAAATTGGGAAATTTTCAATTCTGACTCTGAAAGAAGCAGAAAATTTATTCCCCATCGAACCTGAAATGATTGCATTTGCAAAAATGAACCACCCGGACGATATTGAAATGGGCATTAATGAGCTAATTCAACAATCGTGTGATAATCAGCAGCCCCAAATGAAGCATGAACCTGAGTATGAGAAATTTTGGTTTCCTACGCCTGAAACATGTCAAAACCCTAAATTACTTCCTCAAATCCAACGTGACATTTACGACCAAATTCTTCATTTTCAAGGTCTTGAAAAACTTGAACCGGAAACGAAATATCAAGATCGATTGACATTTATCAAGAATTTTAAGTGGGAGAATTCAGTGTTGACAGAAGACCAAAGGTCAAAAGTAGAAGATTTGCTTGTTGACTTTTCGGACATCTTCGCCAAACATAGATTCGATGTTGGGTACAATTCCGACCTCAAAATCAAACTAAAACCGGAACACACACGACCTCTGTATACACAAGGACCACCTACGCCGATACATTTGCGACATGAATTGACAATGAAGCTTGCCCTTATGCACTATTATGGACTTATAACAACATTGTCACATTCGAAATACAGTAGTCCACTATTTGCACATCAAAAGCCATCTGGTAAATTGCGGATGTTGATTGACCTCAGAAGGATA